CCCCCTCTCCCCCTCTCCCCCTCTCCCCCTCTCTGCTCCCCCTCTACCTCACCCCTATCACCCCTTGACCCGCCCATAACCTCTAAAGGGGTAGCTCTAACAGGTACCTTAAGCAATGCGCATGCTTCCGACAATTTACAATTCCGCTGCCCATTGGCTCACAGTGGTTTTACCATATTGAGACAAGACAAGCTCTCCTTGCGTAGCAAGACAAAACAACGACTGTCCGTGTGCAGGGCGCTGCCCTTTGATCCTTAGGGAATAACTGGTCATACACCTCCTCACAAGGAGTATCCCTTGGGGGTGTATCGGCACAGTTTTCTGGTAGCGGAGCCCGGACAGGGCCGCCCGCCTCACAAAGTCCGCTACAGCGGTCGGCCTCGCCGAACGCTTAACCAAGCGGATAAGAGGCAGCACAATGTCGAGCTCGCATAGCGAAGACGACGGCAGTTCCCAATCCTCCGGGGGATATGAGAACGAAGAGACCTCCCAAGGTCCAGCTACTTATGTCGCACAGTCATATGCAACATCTGACCGCATGCTTGCATCATTAGGCATAACGCCCAAGATCGCGCCTGCCTATGATGGCACCACCTCGTGGGTTGAGTATGAACAGTTGATTGACGACTGGTGCGATATAACAACGCTGGATGATACCAAAAGAGGTCCGTCTCTCAAGACGAGGCTCTCCGGATTGGCCGCAGTACAAAAAGAATCACTCAACAGAGAAAGGCTTGCAGCCCCAGACGGAGTAGATTACTTCAAGAAGAAGATGCGTCCATTTTTCGTGAAAGGAGAACAGTACGTTTTCCTGTGGCGTTTCTCGGCCTATTCAAGGCATGGAAGGGCAACCAAGACTTTGTGACTTGGATTGCTAAGTTTGAGATCGTGCTACAGCGCGTGAGAAATTCATGGATGGATCTCTTACCAGAGATAATTCTGGAAGATGCCCATCCTGATTTCATGCAGGCTGTGCAAGCAGATCAAACCTTCATGCGCCTACAGGATGCAACCGAGAGAGACACATACGCCGCACGTTTCTTCGAAACATGGAACAAGGAACGCCTTGATAATCATCGAAGAGCTTTTCCTCTAAATGATAATCTCCTAGCTCTCCTCTTCCTAGTGCAGTCCGACCTAAATGAGATGCAACGTGAGAGGTTGGTAACAGCATTGACCAACCAAGGTTACCGAATTGAGACCTACACGTACCCTATAGTACGGCAGACCATGTTCGATCAGTTCTCAACGACCAGAACTGGTCTGCAGGATCCCAATATTCGGCACACTTCGCACAAGAAGGACCGCCATGGAAGGAGAGATCAACGCCGCAAACGCGGAGGTCGAAACTTCCTCATCCTCGATCAGGGTGAATACGACGGAGTCGATGGTTTCTGGCTCCAAGACGAAGACACCCTTGAGGAAGGCTTTCTTGCCGCCGAGGATGAAGAAGCTGTCTTTTGGACAGTTGACGACCATGAAGCCTTCGTTGCAAGGAGATTCAAAAAGGGAAGAAGACCAAGAATGCGCCCCGGATCACCGGGAAGAGCAAAGGGTGGCAAGCGAAAAGGACGTGGCCGTTTTAGGTCATACCGCGGAAAAGGGAGAGCCAACCAGGCAGAACATGATCCAACTGATTCCAGCTATTTCGGTAACGGCAAAGGAAAAGAAAAAGGAAAAGGTGGAAAAGGCAAAGGAAAAGGAAAGGACAAAGGAGATAAAGGAAGCTCCTTCAAGGGTACAAAATCAAAAGGCAAAGGTAAGGGTACAGCTAAGTCTGCCTCCTTACAAGGAGACCAAACTGGATCTCCACAGGCCTATGAGAGTTCCACCGCACCGAGCTGGGATTCATGGTATGAGGACAGTTATTATCCTGACTCCAGTTGGAATTATGCCGCTTATGACGATCAAACGTCTTATACATACTATGCATCACAAGCCTCACGAAGAAAAACACGGAGAAAGAAGAGAAGAAATCAAGCAGGATCATCAGGTAGAGGCACAGATCCGAGCACGCACCAAGAACCCGTGTTCAACTCATCAGTGAGTTACGTGCCCCAGGTCTTTGAACCATCCGAGGGGCAAGG